GGAAGCTGCTGCTCATGGGTCCCAGCCATCTAGTGTAACCCAATACGCGCCGCGCGTAGCGGCTCGGGGGAGACACTCGGCGGCGAGTTTAACTCGGCGGTTTGTTCCGTTTCTCGAAATTGTCAACAGACACTAATCCTAGTTTTGCCGCCATGTGATGGTGACCGCAAGTGCGCAATAGACACGTGACTGTGGCTTGACTGGATATTTTGCGGCCGCCATCTTTGCCGACCGTTAGTCGGAGGATAGCCCGGAAATGCTATTGAAATATTCTCATGATACCATGGACAAAAAGAAGAGAAGTACTGACATTTAAAAAGATGTGAACATCAAGAAAAATTGGCTAATACATAGCAGTTTGTCTTGAAGTTGAAATATTTTGGTTAAATCAAGCGACACTGCGTTTTGGAAAAATAGTAATCGCAGAAAACATGATACCGGGAAGGAGGTGCAGAGGCCGACCAAAACGAAGATGGGCACAAGCTATAAATGACTCCTTGCATATGAAAATGCACGAGGCGGAAGAGTTGGCGAAAGATCGTTTCTTTTCATGCAGACCATGATGAGAGCGACGTTCTGCAAAGGATGATGATTAGAGAACGCTACCAACTAAAAAGACAATAGTAAGAAGTAGACTACCGCGTGCTTTACCAAGGCACATGTCACTTTATGCTCCAAAAGTATAACATTGGAAAGGGATTGCAAAATAAACAATTAAAAAAGTCAAGTTTCGCGCATATTGTGCACACTCACTCGAGGCATACTTTTTATCTCACTCGGTCAGATTCATGCAACTGTACTTGAAATCGCTAATGAAGAAATTGAGTGTCTCTTTTGGAGCCAGCACAGCCAATCAGTGGAACAACTGCGATCTTGAATTCTTTGCTTTTGACTGAGTTACGGGTACACATAAAGGCAGATTGGAAGCAGAACATATGGTTGAACCGTTCTAGCAGTAGCATTTTGATATTTTCGTATTAAACACTACAAAGCCGCTTAGTTTGTACTTATAACTTGCTGCAGTAGCAAGTAGTATTTAAGGCCGAACTGGCAGTTCCTTACTGTTCCACAGCCTTGGCGTTCTTAGTCCAAGAGGTATCAATATCCAACATATCTTCATTTAAATAGTTCTAATCTTATCACATTTTAAATGTTAATTATTTTATTTTATTTCATATTATTACCATATTCTATTTCTTATCAATATCATTTATGTATCATTAACACTTGCATTTCTTTTATTCCCAGTATTGTGACTATATTTTTTAGCCATCGTTTATTTTATTTTATTTCATTTATTCCGCATCACATTTTTTAAACGTCGCTCACGTCACCCCTTAGAGATCTACATACTCTCCATTCCTCGTTTGTGTCTTTCACTTGTGTTTGAAAAAGGCTGCCCGGCCGAAACGTTACGTTGTGTTGTTTTGTGCACGTTTTCCTCTTTCCCATTTTGTTGAGCTTTTTAGTCAAATTTCTCTGAAATTCATCTTCTTCAATGCACCACGGTCAGTCTACTTGCACTAGAACTGTTCCTTTTGTTTGTAGATGTATGCATGCCTGCTTCCTCTTGCATGACTCTCGTCTTACTATTTGCAAGTTTTATTCTTCATAGTTAGAAATAATAGTTGATATTGAATTAGACTATTGTAATGTTAGCACATTATTGGACTAAATATGTCTGGTAAAATATAAGCTGACTGTTGACACGATGATTTATGTTGTCGAGTTATTGCATCAAGTAACAATGTTAACTCACTAATTCCTAGTTTTAGCACCATAATAATCTTGAATCAGACAATAGTTAACTGTTAACTTCATTTTTTACATGCCCAGCAGAATAATAAGGAAAAAGAATTATCACAAATCAACACACGAAGTGATACACGTAGTCGCAGATCGCAGATTGTGAAGAGGCATAATAACCAACGCCAGTCGGCAAAGCACTTGATCATGATAATGATGATGAATGATGATGATAATGATGATGATGATGATGAGGAGGATGATACCGGAATCAACATTTCTCTTCATGTTAATCAATCGTTCCACTTAAGCGAGTTAGTGTTAGCGAGGTTTTACTGTAGTCTAGTCGACACTCAATAGGGGAATGTGGTCAATATCACGCCGACCACCTTTACATTCCAGATAATTCACTGGCACCGGTAGACGACTTCGTCGCCGGTCAGGACAGTATGTCTCCACTGATCGCATCAGCACTGCAGGAGTCCTTTTCAGGGTTCTTGGTGACGTGCAGGGCTAAGCCGTTTTATATGGTGCGTATAGTCTGGTCACAATTATAACCTAAAGCTTGCCTTTAGGTTGGTAATTGCTTCCACTAGCGAGGATTTTTATAATGGTATGGGACGTCGCAAGTCGACCTTGCCTAAAATGGGTACCAGGATTTTTATCCTGGAAAAGCAAACACGGCCGGCGTAGTGATGACCACATTATCCACCTAGTGCCGATTGGTCTGTAAATATATGGGTGCTCTCCCTATGTGCCAGATGTGCCTAAAGGCGTAAAAAGGGATCTTTACTTGACGTTTACTAATTACTTTTACTCATGACGGCTGGTCGAACGGTTAGAACGCTGGGCTATCAAGCGGAAGACCCAGGCTTGAATCCTCAGTCATAGGGCAAAATACAAATCCCCACCTGCACAGTCGTAGTGACAGCACTAGCCTTGAGGCCGTAAATCTTTAGGCTCAAAAACAACCACCCCACCCCCTCCCACACCGCCTACTCTGCAAAAGTGATATAAAAAGGCAGTGACTGGCAGTTTTTCCCAATTACTCTAGTCACCCTTTTGTAGGATGCAATTTTTCGTTTTCTGAAACCTTACTCTGGCTCTTGCCAGGGGCCGCAATATAGCCCGGCCATATATATGGTCTAATGGCTGAACGCGGTTTCTGGTACCTCTCCACGGGTGATCCCCATCCACATGGTGGCACTTTGTGTCCTCGTGTGATTATCGCTTTTGTGATGTCCTGTTTGGGTAAAAGAAGAGACAGAACGAGAGACAGTTTTTGCACTCTGACGCTGAAACGTTCATGGAAGATAGACATTTCGGATGTTCGCAATAGACGCGGCAGAACCTGGTGACCAGCCTCCCTCCCCCTCCCCCTTTCTGCCTCTCCCCATGTATGGGGAGGGGGAACTGAGCTTCACTCGCTGTAAACACTCCCCCACCCCCTCCCCCTGCCCCACCCTTCCCCCTTTTCCCCCCGAAAATATGTTCACTCGGCTATGCAACTTCCTTTCTATTATCAGAAGTTGTTTTATTTTGAAGATTATAGGTGAAAAATCATACAAATTATCTCACTGTATTTTATTTATTTTTTTTTAGCACATTGTATATATATGGAGTCGATATGACGTTGGCGGCTAGACGCCCGCCTGTGGATCGGAAGGTGGTTGGTTCGCATCTGACTGAGCCGCACTTGTTTTTTTTTTTAATGGCGTTGCCTCCCAGGTTGACCTAGCCTTCAGTGGGTACCAGGTGCGGTCCTGGGAAGTAAAGGCAGCTGGCCGGATTCTGACCACATCACCCACAGAGTGCCGATTGATCTATTAAATTGTAGGTCTAGCCTTTTATACCCAATGCGCCTAAAGGCGTGGAAAATGGACCTTTAGTTTTAACATTGTGTAAGTATATATATATATATATATATATATATATATATATATATATATATATATATATATATATATATATATATATATAACAGCAATGCTTCAATAAAGCTTAAACAGGTCACCAGGCTTCCTAGACCCACCCTTACCATTCCGCCCACCTGAGTCCTCAAATGTGTTCTTCGTTCCTTAGGCAGCATTGATTCAGAAATATCCTTGTGTGTGCATTATAGAGTCTGAACTACTATCTGTCCCACTGCAGCAAACACCATCGCAGAACACATGTTCATTGAATCTATCAAGAAGCGACGACAATAATTGTTATGTTTGGGGAGTCGCCACAAAATTAGAACGTTTTTGAAGGGTCGTGGTAGAAGGGAGGTTGAGAACCACTAGTTTACCACTATACCTGTTTAACACTATTGGACGCTGCTATTTCGCCACCTATTAGGGAAAAGACACTCCCTAATAATGACTTGAATGCTCACTCCGAAGACAGAAAGGGGTGTGGCATGGTGACCGCCTCGAGTACTAGACGTCCCGGGTTTAAGTCCCGGTGAGAGTTGGGGGTTTTTTCCGCGTAGATTTCTAGAAATTTCCCCTGATCTCTGGGTAGTAATACCGGACGCCCGTGTGTATTGTTGCGCACGTAAAATAAATCTCTTAGCAGTTGGAAATCAAAAATGAGTAGCTTAACGACGCTGCCTGTGCAAAATTTGCAGTTACAAATCTACCAAAAGCATTTTAGGATCCTCGCCGGCATTACAGAGTTCGTGCGCTGCGCTGAGATTCTTCAGACTATGGCTTGAGTTAGAAGAAGAACGGAGCTCTTATGGGTTACACCCATGTGCCATGATGTTAATCCGTTGAATGAACATAAACATCTGATAAACATCCCAAGACGGAAAAAAGGTCAAAGAAGGCGCCGGAATATCCACGCAAGAAAGCAAAATCTGATAAGAAAGCATTCTGTTTTAGCTCTACCCTGGAGTTTCCACTAGTACTTAAACCAATACTATAAGGCCATGTGTTTTTTATTTTACAAAGTTCAGTTGCTCAATCCTGATAGTCCCCGATGTAATCAGTGGCCAGGCGAGATCAATTCTCATGTGCACGAGTTAGCACGTAACGATTACAATGAAAATGGTATCAAATGATATTATTCCCCCTTCTCTCACCCATCCTCTCGTCGCTTAGCACAGGATGTGAGCACAGCTGGTGACAAACTGTGTTCGTCCATTAAAAGGTAGTGGGCACATTGTGTTGCGGTTTACGGCTATGCTGCGATATATGGATATTTCGGCACAATCCGATTTCAGCACATACCGAATTTTTTTTTCTTTTTACGATATGCTTATTATTGAGGTCTGTTCTCTCCCCCCCACCCCCCACCCCCGCCCCAACACCCCACCCCAACACCCCAACACCCCAACACCCCAACACCCCAACACCCCAACACCCCCCCACCCCAACACCCCAACACCCCAACACCCCAACACCCCAACACCCCAACACCCCCCCACCCCAACACCCCAACACCCCAACACCCCCAACACCCCAACACCCCAACACCCCCAAACACCCCAACACCCCAACCACCCCCCACCCCAACACCCCAACACCACACCCCAACACCACACCCCAACACCACACCCCAACACCCCAACACCCCCCCCCCACCCCAACACCCCAACACCCCAACACCCCAACACCCCAACACCCCAACACCCCAACACCCCAACACCCCCCCCCCCACCCAACACCCCAACACCCCAACACCCCAACACCCCAAACACCCCAACACCCAACACCCAACACCCCAACACCCCCCCACCCCAACACCCCAACACCCCAACACCCCAACACCCCAACACCCCAACACCCCAACACCCCAACACCCCAACACCCCATTCCAAAAAGTAGCCCCAGAGCCCACACAGGGAAGTAGTTTGGTAATTTATATGACACAATGCCATCTGGCATATCGGCAAAACTTTGGCATTACCATGGGTCATTGATCAGACCAGAATTCAGCCCTCTTTTCTGTTTGTGGAAACAATATAACGAACAGATCTGCAAATATAAAACTCGGATTTAAAAAGCTGCACCTTTGCCCCGATATCGACCGGACATCTCCAGAACTGACGGCCGGAAGTTCCTGTGCACGATACGATGAATAATAAAGGCTTTGGATGCCGTTTGGGCAATTTTTTTTTAAAGTTATGTTAACCCGTTTTATCTTGCATATGACAAGCCGTGTTTCTAGCATTGTTTAATTACCCCTTGTTCCTGTCGGTCGCTGAGATTTACATCTTTTTGCAAACGATCTCCTCTTCCTACAGAATGTTTCATACGGAGTGGCCCATAGAGTTAGGGCAGTTTGAAAACCGTGCAACTTCGCATACGTTTACATCTTAAACGTTATAATGTCCAAGTTCACATTTTTGTCGGTTGCTTTTGTATGCTCTTGTATTATCGATTATTCTTTACCTGCGGAGAGCCAATGTGGTATAGCGGCTAAATGCTAGCCTGCGAATCGTGGACGTGGGTTCAAATCCTGAAGGTGCTTTTCGACACAGCTTTTAATGGGCAGCAGGTAAACGTCCTGGGGCGTAAAGGCTGCCGGTGTGATGTGGACCACATCAAACACAGAGTGCTGATTGGTTTTTAGGTAATATCCAGAAACCATAAGTTGTTAACCATTTGGCACTGTACTATGGATATCGCCACCCTTTTGCACTGATTCCGAGATAGATGACGTAAATCTGGGAGAAGTGTGGGTTTTCTGCCTACCCCCGGGCGTGAACTCGGCCCACAAGGAGTTCGTCACGCTTATGTCGCCCTTTAAGGATGCCGCCGGATGCGACCGGGTCTCTCATTTATTGCACGGCACGGTGCGGATTGAATAGAAAGCCTGTAGCATGTGATGATGATGATTATAATGAATATGAAGATTACTATGATGTATGTATTGGTGAGAATAAGGAGGGGAAATATCAAGATGAAAATGTAACGAAGAAACATAGACTAAAAAGCGGCAAAAGATACATCCTAAAATGTTAAGTTTTTCACTGCGGAAGTATTCAATAGAAACCCTAGAGCAAGATCCAGTCCGATCATCAACTTCCAACGCCCACTGACTTCCTGTCTAAGGAATTTGTATCCGAAATGTTCTACAAAATACCTAGATCTACATGCACAGAGACCGTTTCATCTAACTTGACAACCCAAGATCAGCACTGGGCTAGTACACCACAGGGGGTACATCTTTATTAAATGTTCCCTAGTTATTTTCACATTCATTTGTAACTTTTCAAATTCTTTTGAAATTATATACCAAACCCCAGTAGGACCAGCAGGCCATATGATTGTTTTATATGACAATACTTCCCAGATTGTGTTTTTTGTCATCAATGTTATCATTTGGCATGATTTTACAGAAAGCTCATATGTATATAAAATGATCGTGACCGGTTCTGCAGTTCGTGCACTCATTTAGTACCTACTGCTGTGTCCTGACAAGGAGGTGATCCAATCACTAATGGTTTATTTCAGTGGCGTGATGATGGTTCTGGAAACTAGCGAATGTAGCCAATCAGCAAATTACATTAGCCAACTACCTGCTGAGGCAAGGAAGCATAATGTACCGATTTGTTTAGACACGAGTATTATGTCGTGTTAGTTTGTGTGAGACTCTTTTTCCTTTCTTCTTCTCTCCTCTTCTTATTGTTGTTACTCTACTTCTTCTTTTTCTCCTTTCCATGCGTTCTTCTTCTTCTTCTTTTCCTCCTCCTTCTCCCCTTTTTCTTTTTCTTCTTTTGCAGTCTCCTCTGAAAAGGTGATTGGCATGTTCAACTGTGGTTTACAACTAGGCTGCGATGTTTCAGCCTTGTGACCCATCAGGCCTGTTTCTATAGCATAGTCACCTTTTAAGACATTCTTATTAGGGAGTCTTTATCCTCAAAAACAAGCCAGAACTTCTACGACAGTCCAGCAGTCTACTGACTGACTTGAATTTATGAACATATTTTATTTATCTATTTCAGGTTGGTGAAATGGCCAAGTGTTTATTCATGAAATTGTCTATTTCTTCTTAGTTGCTCTTCATGGGTGAGCGCTCTATGCATCTTAGAGAGTAGTGTGTTGAAAGGCAGCTTTTTATGTGTGTGTTTCCGTCCTCTCGGCAGACGATGATTGTCATTCATGGTTATGAGCTTCGTTTACCGGTGTGTAAGTTTCGTATTCCTACAATGGGTATGGCTTCTTTTTCTTTTTTTCTTTTTTTCGTTTCCCCTGAAAAAATTGCATTTCTCTGCAATTCTGTTTCTCTGATAAATTTCACTGTTGATTTTAGTGAATTCAGTGGTCCGTTATGGTTTACTTTCCACTGTTACTCCTTTTTTAGCCAAAAGGTTTGCAATAATTTGTGATATAAAAGGCGGTCTTGGAGTATGTGTTCTGCCGTCGGAGACGATGTTCGGGTGTACGTGATATCACGCCATTACGCCTTTTATTATACCTTTTTTGTGGGTAGTCAAAAACGGGCTTTATTGAGGGTTTAGGTCGCATGGCCAGTTTCAGTCGCCCGCTGGCAGGTAAAGAGTTTTTTTTGCCCCCGGCAGAAAAAACCCCCCGCCTTACCC